TGAAACAGGAATCCAAAAATCAAGCCTAAGGCATCATAAACAGTAATAAAGTGAATTTGTAGGCATATTGCCTTTGGTGCTTCTGGGACAAGGTCTGCATAGTTAAGGCAGGACTGAAAAATCAGCAGTTATCTGCATCTCTGGACCTTGTAACTGGGACCTGAAATGACCTTCCCTGTGTTTTGAGCAAGATAGTTGAGAGACACTGAATCTTTTGAATGGATTAACCTATTTGAATATATTATGTATTTCGGAGTTGAAACAATGTTATAAGAAATGCCGAAAACAGATTGGGGTAAACCTTACTAAATATTAATCACACACATAAAAAAATTGTCTTTCTATTTGTATGTAGAAGTAGCTGAGCCAAAAAAAATAAAATAAAAAAGGGTAGATTTGTTCCTGAGGAAGCTGGACAAATGCTGCCAGCTGAGAGAAAACAGCAGGATGACTCAACTCCAATTGCTACATTTTATATCAAGGAAAGTGGTATGCAAATGGCAGGATAGAAGTGACACAAAGAAAAAAAATCAAACTTAAGACTGGGACAAAGATGCAAGTGCACATCCAGCTATCTCATTAATGCCTCTAAGTCAGACAGGGACACTTTGTCCTAGGATACTGAAAGCATATAATGATAAGATCACAGAAACATCATTATTACTCTATTAGGAATCATAAAATGTCACAAAGGTTAATGACCCAGTTAAGAAAGTAGTAAGACGAGGAGAATGTGAATTGTAGAAATCACAACTTTCAAAATTTGTTGATGGTATTTGGCAGAATTTTATTCTTTACTCTTAATCAGATGGTTACTAATTATTAGGATAAAGAAAGCAGAGCTAGTTAGAAACAATCATGGGTGTATTGCAGACATTTTAGTTACAGATCTAAATAATTCTTTTGGCATGGGAGATCTTTTTTTTAACAAAGTGTGTGTAAATTTCTCTCCATAATATGCTGATGGATGAATTTTCATGTTGAAGATAAGGGAAGTGAATTTGTAACCAGTAACACATTATAACAATTAGAAAAAAGAAAACATTGTTAAGAGCATGAAATAGACATGGATTTGAATCCTGTATCTAACAATACCTGTGTGACCTTAGAGTTACTAAGTTTGAAAAATGGAAATAATAATATGAGTAAGCGTCCCCCTAGAGTTGCTCAAAGATTGAGTTTGACCTGCACATAAGAGGATAATAATATATGTTATCTTAGAGGAATCCTGTAGTGGAGACTCACAAAGGCACCTATAAAGGCACATGGAGGGCAGTTATTTCTTGCCGTGGAGTAGTAGGACCCAAATTTGGCCAGAGAAGAAAGGTACAAGTACAGTCCTACTAACAAATGGACACAGGCCTAAGCCTAACAGCCAATGCATGTTCTCCACTGCAAATAGCAATTACAGTTTTAGCTTAGAGAGGGAAATAGCTGAATAGTCCAAGCGGTGATAAAGGATGTGAAGTAGGGAGATAGGCAGGAATCAACTCACAATGACCCTTACATGCCAGCCATATTCAAAAGTTGAGAAGTCATACTAAGCATATGCTATGAGAGGAGGTATGAAGGGCAACTTGAAATGTTAAAATAAAAAAAAAATGTAAACTTGTTCAAAGCATGTTCTCCAATATTCTAGGTACTTGGAAACATTTTAGTAAGTAGAATATTAAATGTTAATAGCTAGTAGATTATTAATGAATGGTTATGCCAATTCTTTTTTAAAAAGATTTATTTATTTATGTATATGAGAGCTGGGGTACAGGCCAGAGGTGTGTGTGTGGGGGGGTGGTGGTGAGAGGATTCACCTGAGACAGAGAGGGGAACAGAACAGGCAGATTGACACTGCTGAGGGGAGCAGCGGGCGAATCAGGAGAGGTCTGCTGCGTCATGTGGGTTGCTCCCTGGCCGGCAGGGAATTGAACATGAGCTGCAGAGGCTGTGGACAGCTTCACAGCACTGCACTCAACTCGCTGAGCCACCGGGGAGGCCCCCAGATTATGAGAATTCTTTACTGAAACCAGAGTATACTCAAAGATAGTCATCTGTGTTCTCATTAGATTGGGTGGTATTTCCCAATAATTTTAAAATAATTCTACTCTTGGTATTAATTTCAGTTACATTTTTTTTTTTCAATGTTACTTTTTCCAAACATAAATGATGGGATTTGGTAAAGTCCCTGCAACAGGGTTTGCATGTGACATAGTTTTGAACCTTACACAGTACACACTTATATGTAGACTGAAAAGAGAATTAGACATTAGTGACTTTAAGAAAGATCACTAATGCAAGACAAAAACCAATCTTCTTGAGGGTTTTTTTTTTTACTTCAAAGGAAGGCTTTGAATCCTAGCACCTTCTTTGAATCCCTTTAAGATAGCATCAAAATTTAAAGCACTTGGTTTCCATCTTGCAAGTGACTCTGAGTTCTTTAAACTATGGGAATGAAAGCAAAGAAAGGAGGTGATATTAATCTCATTTTCAGGGTTTTTGTGTAGTATGATATATTTTTCTAAAAACACTGGAGTACATTATTAGAAGAAATTGTTTATGACTGTGATGATGGGCGTTATGGGCTATGACTGAAATAGTAAAGATAGAAAATGGGGACCTGTTAAATGATTTCTATCTCTGTACTCTTGTCTGTTTTTTTTTTCCCCTTCCTTGACTTTCATAACCTCACTTACTGAAATTGGAAAGACCAAATTTGAATTTAGTTTAATTCCAAAGTTTTATAACCTGAATAAATAATGAATAGTGGAGTCTTTGTCTATTTCTTTAACTGCAGTTAAAACCGGTAGCTACTAATGAGTTTATTATAGCAGTGTTAATATTTGGGACTTTAGTCCTAAGTGTGAGGCTTTTTAAATGAACTTTTGTAACTTAAATATTTAAATATTAAGTGTTGCAACTAAAAGACTTAGGATTGATTCTTTACTCTTTCAAATTGTGACTTTTCAGAAAATAACACCCTGAGTTCAAAATCTTTCCCTTATAAAATGGGCCATAGATAGAGTCATAAGCTTGTATTGTTAGAACCCTGGTTCACATCTTTATAGGATAATGATCTCATCTGTAAAGATTTAAGAGTTATTTTTAGGGTTAGCTGGCCTGATATTAAACATTTAATAACAAAAAGTAAGTGCTCAATGAAAAGACATAGTAATAATACTAACAAATGCTCTTACTTTCCAGGTTAATTGTGCAGCTTTGATAGTTTTATAAAATAAGTAATGGTGAGATGGTATATAACAAAAATGAAGGAAAACAAACACTTAAAGATAGAAGGTACTAAATAAATATTTGATTAATTAATGAATAAAAATTGAATATACTATGGGCATATTTACTTATTTGCTCTTAATATATTGTGGTGTAATAATGACTGGCAAAGTGTCAAAAATCTTAGTTCAGCACCTGAATTGATACGGCTGAACTTGAGGGAAAATATTATACCTTCTAAGACTCAGTTTCCTTGTCTGTAAAATGAGTATAATAGATTCATAAGATTATTGCTTAGAATATTTATTCTGTTATTACATACTAGCTTTGGGATGGAAATGATCTCAGTAGATAGAGGTGTTTGAACAATTGTTTCAGAATAGTAAACATACTAAGGATAGAAATTATAAAGTTTTTGAAGTTTTATAAAAGGTTTTAATTGGACTAATTAACATTTCAGCTTGTAATTAAAGCACTTTGAGAATGGAGTTCATTATTGGCCATTCTGACATATTAGCAATTGTATGAAAATGACTTTCATTTTCAGAATTCTAGAATAAATTAGAATTGTGCACACATTTCAGCTTCATGCTGCAACTAGAGGTGGCTCTGAATATATTTATCCTCCAAACACTGAGGATTTGATTCTACAATTAGTAGGACTACTTAGTAGCCCAATATAACACATGTGACAGTCTTAACTATCTATCCACCTTACAACCACAGAAATGGGGGAGATGAATTTGTGGATGACTTGTCTGAGGGTTGACAAATCCTTGATTGCATTACAGTGTCATCCTTGGCACGCCTGCCTTTCACCTACAGCTGGCACTTGTGATCTGAATCACTGCTGCTCTCCAGTGGTCTATTCTGTTTCTCACCCAAATGATGGTGCATTAGAATGCTCTCTCTGAGGCTTGAATTTCTATCAGTGGGCTCATATTACAATTGTCACATGGATTCTCCCCACATGATCCAATACTGAACAAGATAGCATTTATTGTAGTTCATCAAGGATTTTAGTTGGTGATTGACTGTGAACACACTCAAAACAAAGTACAACAAATGCTTTATATGAATAAATGCTTTATATCCTCCCACATTTTCCTTTATTCTCCCTGAAATCAATGAACAAACCACCCACTGAGTATTTACTGAGTGAAAGACAAGTGCTAGGTATTTTTCAGGAATTTTTTGGAAATAATTATTTCTTTTAAGTTTGGAGTATTCTTTTAAGAACTCATAGTGGTTGGCTATGTGAGCAATTTTCATGAACTGGAATTGTGCATTTGGTTATTGCCAAACAATCTTATGGTTTCAAACTCTTGACGTGTATACTGAAGAGGTCAGCAATCCAGCTATTGAGTTTTCACTGTGGTTCCCTAGAAAACAGAAACTAAGGAAAAATTGTCCTTTTTTTAAACCTGTAAGAGTCTGATATAAAATCTGAGAGAAATGTGAAAAAGGAGACAATGGGAGTGATATCAGAAAGGATGAAAGCAAATATAATGCTCTTTATTGACAAGATGGGACTGCAGACATCCACAACATGCTGTTTGGTCCTGGGCCCACTCAGGGCATGGCCAGACTACCTTTGGGAAGGGTTGGTGGGTAGTGTGTAAATGAAGAATTTCTTTGTCAGATCCTTCTATTATACTGCACTCATTGGCGCATTTCATCAAATAACTCAATTTAGTAGTCTGCTCTATTATAATTCGAGTCCCTCTGTGGGGCCACTCTGTGGAACTGAATGTTTAACTTCTAGTAGTATTATCAGTTCCCCTCTTAGGAATGACTGGAAAACCTGACTCCATGGTTTGGGACACTGTACTTCACCTGCGACTCAGCACCTGATCACTCTAGAGGTTTGTCTGGAAGTACCATGAAACACCATGCCTGAACCAAGACTTTAACTTGGAGAAGCGGGACAGCTGGATGGAGCTCTCCATTAAGTAAGCCACCAGGAAGCAGGCGGGGCTAAGCAAATCTGAGGAAGTACATAAGTTGGGTTGCATATAATTGGGCTTTTAATGGACCTGATAAAGAAGTAATATGCAAATCAGAAACTGGCATTTATTAAAGACCTGTAATCCTGTTTCTTTATGAAGTTTCCCCCCTATATACACTGCCTAATAACATGTTAATTTTATAAATTAGTATGATTTAAATAAATGTGTATCTATAAAGATTTTTTAAGACCAAATTGATATTGAACATGTTTTCCCATCTCTTATTTCCACAATGCTATTTAACTTAGTCAAGCCTTTCAAATTCATCTAGAGCTAATTATCTCTCTCCTATTAATTATTTGGAAATTATGACCCGATCGAGGTTTGGCAACCTGCTGTTAGTGCTATTTATACACACATATTTCCTGATTTACTCACATCTGCAACAGTTCCATCTCAATTCCTAAAAGCTATCTGCATTGACTTTTTCTCCCATTTGTGCCTTCCTTGCCTATTTCGCATACTGGGACAATCGCTCATGCCCAAGACTGAACTGGATTTTAACCTTCTTGCTCTTGCTTCTTGCCGGCTAACCAGAGATTACAGCTATTCCCTCTTCTTCCTATACCTTTACTATGCCCTCTTTCCTAGAGCTTTCTTTTCAGAATTGACTGAGGCAAATATCCTTAATTGGCTACCTCAAGTCCTTCCTCATAGTCACTTTCTTACTTTTTTTTTTTTAGATTTATTTATTTATGCATACAAGAGCTGGGGAACAGGCCAGAGATGTGGGGAGTGAGAGAATTCACCAGAGACAGTGGGGAACAGAACAGGCAGACTGATCGAAGTACACTGCTGAGGGTAGCAGTGGGTAAGACAGGAGAGGTCGCTGTGCCATGTGGGTTGCTCCCTGGCCAGCCAGGGATCGAACTCATGCTGCAGAAGAGGCTGCAGATTGCTTCATAGTGCGGTGCTTAACCCCTTGCGCCACCAGGGAGGCCCCACTTCCTTACTGTTTTTTATCTCTATAGCAGTGTTAATCTTTTTCTGTCTTGGACTCAGAGAAGGCACTGCTCTGATATGTAGCCTCAAGGGTTAGTTAATATTTATTATAGTCCCACCCACTTTGCTGATCACAGTTATACTTTTTGACCTATAAGAATGAGGGAACATTTCTTGGTAGATAATGAAAAATTGTCTTCATTCCGAAAGAGATGGAAAACATCCCCCCCTTCCACAATTTTTTTTGTTTTGTTTTGTTTCAGAATATTGTTGTTCCAGGTTTTAGTCAATGACACTATTGCAACCATCTTGTACGGTGAGAGGACAAGCCTGAGAACAACAAAAATGGATGAGGATGACAAAAAAGAAAGATGAAAAGACCTGCCTTCTTGATCATTTAACTGCTGAATTAAATAATCCTGAATCTACTCTACCCAACCCCCACATTGATAGGTGAGATAATAAATAGCTTTATTTTTAATAGTCAGCTGTTTTTCATCTTCTTTTTATACTTATATCAAATGACATTTATCATCTGCCTCTCATGTCTTCTCAAACTGTTCTCAGTAAGGTCACAATAACCAATCAATTGACAAAACAACTGACAGTGTTTAATCCTTACCTTGCCTGACTTCATTTCATCACTGACTTCTCCCTACGTAAAATGCTGACTTCCCCGGATTCAATTAAGAAACTCTGTCCTGCTTTACTTTCTATCTTTCTGGTCATTCCTTAGGATTAAAAAAAAAAATGTTTTGAAATGTTTCAAACAAACTAAAAGCATAAGAAATATCATGACAGACATTTGTCTTCTCATCAACTAGATTTGGCAAATGTTAACATCTAGTCATATTTACTCAGAGTGGACCTGTTTAGATTCAGTCTCCTTTTCTTTCACCTGTCCTCAAATTGCCTTTTCTGGAGTTCTCCTCTAATTCTTTTTGTTTCAGACCCTCCTTGGTGATTTAATCCATACTTCTGATTTTACATAGATTTTTCCATCTGAGATTACTTTCCTGAATTCAGAATTCATGTTTTAGGCATGTCCACATCAATATTCCATAGGTACTTTAAAATCAATATACATCTCAATTTAGTGTTGGTGTCCATGGAAGTTAAGCAGCACAATAGGAACTACATCTCAGGAGAGTGACCCTGAAGGGACTATGTTTTTCATTCAAAATTCTAAAACCTTGGGCCTCCCTGGTGGCGTAAGGGTTAAAGTCTCAGCACTGCTATCAAGTTATTGCCCACCACTACAACATGAGTTCTTGAGCTCTCTCCAGCCTGACTCTGCTTGAGACCCTGAGGCAGCGAAGTCATAGATGTCTTATCCCAGGACCTGGATCAATTAGAGCTCTTTATCTTACTTTACGTCTATTCAAGGTGAGAACGTTTATAGCCACAAAATAACCCCATCTTGACTGTGAAATCCTCTGCGTGTAGAGATTCTATCTATTAGAATCTATTGGAATCATTTTTAGCTGACACAGTAGATCTGTCATGGAGTGTGTACTGAAGCTTCTGAGGAGGGCTGCAATAATAGCAGTATGTTGCTCATTGCACATTATAGAATTCACTCACACATTCTGTGTTTAGTGAATGTTTACCATATGCTGTTATGCACTGTTCTGGGTGGAAAAGAAATGGTGGTGATCCCCTACAAGCTGAAAGTCTGATGAGTAAGATTCATTAATAAAATCTTTCCTCTGAAATATTAAAAGTATTCCTATGAATAAGGCTGTGAATAATAAACTCTATATATTTTAAAAGGTGATCTAACAAAATTTAGGGGTGGTCATGGAAGCAATTGAGTGTGAGTCAAGAACTAGATGAATTGGAGTTAACAAGGAAAAGATGTATGTATGGGTGAGGGAGGGGACAGGAATGGAAGGAAGTGAGAGGAGAAAGATTGTTCAGCAAGGAAATAATTTATACAAAGGGCCTATGACCAGAAATGATTTAACAGGTCTGTATTTTTTCACTTTAAATAGAAAATTAAATATCTAAGAAATTTAATTCTTGTTAGTACTCTGAAAAAGAAAAGTATGCTCATTTTAAGTTTGTGTTTATATAACTTACATGCTAACCTTCTCCTTCCTTTGGGGGTTCCCAAGGCATTTTAGCCTACTAAGATTGAACATTTATAGAGTAAAGAAACTTGTTTAGCTTTGTTTAATCAAGCATGCCCATATGTCCCAGACTTACTTTACCATAAAATCCTTTCCTCCTGCTTTAACATTTATTCACTTGGAGCAAAACTTGCATGTTCAAAAAAAAAAAAAAACAACTCTCTGGGGTACATTTCTCCAGGGATCAGTGCTTGCCTGCGTCTTCAGTGTGGGTCATCATGGATCAATGCTGTGGTTGAAGAAGTTCAGAGAACAGAGAAAGCAGTTGGAGCTGCAGCTGTCTGTTTTATCTGATGCACAAAACTAGGATCTCTGGTGAGAACCTTATTAATCAGTCATTTAGTATAAACTGCTAGATCACCTGCTCCTGGAGCTTACAGGTAAAGTCTGCTAACTCCTGTGTCAGTCAGAAATCTCTAATCTATACTATGTATCAGTAATTTTTTATTGGATTAGATAGTAAATATTTTAGGCATGTAGATGCTGTAGTAATAACTCAACTCCTACAGTCCCAAAACAGTCATAGACAACAGGCAAATAAATGGGCATAACTACATTTCAATAGAAATGTATTTACAAAACAGCCCATTAGTATGCCATAGCTTGCCAACTCCAGGTCCAGATCATTCCTAAAAATTGTTCTCAGTGAAATTACTTTCTAATATTACTTTGAATTTCAGTCATACCTTCCTTATGGATTGCATATCTTAATATGACATATAATCCCTTTGTTCTAAAAGATGATGAGTACTTGAGAAAGACTTCACAGAGTAGCCCTCTCTTACCCATGTTTTCTCAAATAGCTCTAAGATTTCCTTTTTTGTATGTGTCTATGAGATATTCCACTTTGAGGAGATAAGCAATCAAAACTGAGGCCCCACAGCTTATAAAAGGCAAGACAAGTGCCAGACACCAGAAGCTGCTTGTGGCCAGTGCAAGAGGCAGCAGGTGGGAGGCATTTTACTGCTTACCTCCAACAAAACCACTGGGGCTCAAGTTTCAGGCAGAGGCCAGCAGTGATGGTGGGCAGCAGTGTTTCTCCTACCATGCCACCCCAGGGCATGCAGTCACTGGGTCAGGGCTGCAGGGAGGAACATGGGGCTCCACTGGGCTAGCCCCAGCACTGTGGCTCTCCCCAGCTCCAGGCAGTAGAGAGGCAGGTGGATTTGGTAATGGACCAATTAGGTGTGAGCTATGAGCTGAGTTGTGAAAGGTCCAATCAGCCATAGGATTGAAAAGAGCCCAATCAGATTTGTGTGTTGGGGTGGGGGTCGGGGGGAGCCCTGAAAAAGCATATAAGGCAGGGCATGCACCAGCTTGGGACTCACTCTGTGCTTGGAAAAGACTCTGTTCCTGACCTCCAAAGAAGAAAGAAGCATTTAGCGGCCAGCCTCCAGAGGAAGAAGAGAAGCTGAAAAGCTTCGTAGAGAAGCTAAAGAGCTTCACAGAGGCGGGTCCAGCCACACCTGTTTCAGGCCTGTCTCTAACATCGCATGAAAGGATCACCAAAGGCTCCTGGCCTGGTATCTCAAAAATCTGTTTACTGTAGATGTTGGCCAGTGGCTCACAGCGAGCTGTCGACATGGTGTTTCTGACACTGCTGCTTCATGGTGAACGGTGTTCATAGGCACTACTGGCCACTGCTGCCCAGCACTGCTGATGGGTGACCGGCATTCTCTCTCTCATCTTTTGAGAGCCGTTAATTGTCTGGCATCACCTCCCAGTGCTCCTGCCTCCATTACTGTATGATCCAGTGCCTGGTGTCTACTTTCAGACTGTTGCTGTGAGCTGTTGCAGTGTCATCCAGTGGCCACACCGGTAAGCACCTCCAGCTCTGGTGAGGTGGATCCTGGTGCACTGCTTGATAGGATGGTGCTGTCTTGGAGGAGCAGCCATTTATTTGTGCTTCTGGACACTGTGCACTATCTGGGGTAAGATAACCAGCCACGTGTGGCCTTAGAATCTCTGTTTCATCCATTTGTTAAGTAAACTCCATGTTGTTTCTTCCTGCACCTGAGTGGTCTTGTAGTTGTGTGTGTGGTTGAAGAACCCAGAGACCATGACCTGTCCTCTGTTGGCCACTGTGCTTTGATGCTATAGCACTCTAGCACCCCACCCCCCATCATAGCTCTGATTCACCATGACTGGATATACAGGTTGTTTTTAAAATTACCTCACCCATGTTTTCAAAATCAGGTCTCTGAATACTGGCTATAAGCCACAATCACATACTAGTCCTGCATTTTCTTTAATCTTCTAACTGTGAAATCTAGTCTTAGAGTTTGACCTATCTCGATACAGGTCATTAAATCCTCCACCAAAATAGATATATACACATACATGGGTAAGCTCTCTTACGTAACAATTACCAAAGGATTTATCTGCAATCTGCATGGGGATAATAGGGGAAAAACAATCTTTCCTGATTTTTAACAACTAATCATGAACTGATAAGATTCCAAGATTGTATGATTTTCACTGCCCCAACCATACCCTATGCCAAGGCAGAGTCTTAACTAGATTCTAGCCTGAGGACAGTGAAGCTGCTGGATAAGGTCAGTCATGGCATATCAACTCATTAAACAGATGTGGCCCTCTAACTCCCCAATATGTTTTGGTCTTATTTTATGTAGTATCCACTAACATTTGTAATACACTTTCAGCTGACAAGTTAACCACTTTTAGAGACACACTCAGAGGGAGTACCTTAGCTACCTTATCTCATCACCAGTTCCGCATACCATCTGGAGTCCTTTGACTCAGTCCTACTTCTGGAACCAGTTACCATGTGCTTTTTGTCTTTCAGGTTGTTAGAAAATAGGGTTCCTGATAATTTTTTATAATCGGGCTTTATTTTAATAATGAAACAATAGATCAGCTTTCATGCACAGACATTTCAGTGCCTCCCTGCCTGTCTGATTCTCTTGGTCTCTTGAGCTCTTTACCTTTATTACACTGTCAAGCTCCCTATGCAAGAGGACATTTTCATCTACAGTAATCACCATCTGATATAGGCTACTTGTTTTCATTAGTACCGGGCTAAGACATGAATCCCCTGGCCAGTAAAAGTGATTTTTAAAAAAGATTTATTTATTTATATATACAATAACTGGGGTACAGGCAAGAGGTGTGGGGGTTGAGAAGATTCACCAGAGACAGAGTAGGGAACAGAACAGGCAGATTAACTGAAATACACTGCTGAGGGGAGTAGAGGGCGAGCCAGGAGAGGTCTGCTGCCCCAGGTGGGCAGCTCCCTGGCCGGCCAGGGATCGAACTCATGCTGTAGTTGCTGTGGATAGCTTCATTACTTGCTTCTCAACCCTGTGCCACCAGGGAAGCCTGTAAAAGTGATATTCTTGAAAGCACATGACTTAACTGGTCATAAATGACTAGTTTGGAGCTTCGTTTCTAAGAGGCACCAATTGGCAGTGTAACCAGATGATGCCTGAAAACTTTTAGACCTAACCAATTAAGATATAGACCTATTATAAATGAATCCACAGAAGGAAGGATAAAAGAAGGGAGAAAGAATAAAATTTCAAGGAAAAAATTATTAATGCCTTCAGAAGCAGATTCTAGTAATGCACAGGCTACTAAATCTAAATTTTCTGAACTGCAAAATTTGATATTGTTAAAGATGTCTTTCCCTTGGTCACCTTCTTCCTCTTCTATCACTTTTAAAATTTTATTTTATTGAAGCAATGTTTTAAAACACTGTGTAAGATTTAGGGGAATAAGATCACACCTTTTTAGATGTATGTTACCATTCCACATCCACCACCAAAACACCAGTAATCCTACACCATGCTCCATTGTGTTGTCCATTTCTTTTCTTTTCATTTTTTTAACACTATTAGGGTTATCTTTTTCTTTATAGTATTTTAAATCTATGTGTATTTATTTTATTCAGGTAATACTGTTTCACAGCACTTTATGTAATTTAGAGGTTTAGAATCCCACCTTTTCAGATGTATGTGTCCTGCCACTCCCACCACCAAAGTATCCATAGTCCACAATCATAGTCCATTGTGACCCCTCCATATTTTACTCTCCACTATCTCCCACCCTCTTCAGTAGTTTTATTTTTACTGACAGAATTCTAGGGTTTGTTATTGGTTTGATATTGTCTGGTCGTTTTATTCTTTTTTCCCCCATATTCAACATGTAAGTGAAAATATAATATTTTTCTCCTGACTTATTTCTCTTAGAATTATCCCCACCAGTTTCATCCATGTTGTTGCAAATGGTGAATTCATTTTTTTTATTGCTGAGTAGTATTCCATTTTGTATATATACCACATCTTCTTAATCTATACATCTGTCCTGGGACACTTAGGCTGTTTCCTTAACTTAACTACTATAAATAGTGTAGCATTGAACATAGGAGTGCATATATCACTTCAAATGAGTGCTTTTATGACCTAGGCTTGGAATTGCTGGATTGTATGGTAGATCTATTGTTAATATTTTGAGAAACCTCCACACTTTTCCATAGGGACTGGATCAGACTACTTACTAGTATAGTATAGAGGGTTTGCCTCACCAACACTTGATTTTTCTGGCCTTTTTTTGTATGGGCCATTCTCACGGGTATGAAATGGTCCTAATTGTGATTTGGTTGGCATTTTGCTAATGATAGTTGGTGAGTAGGACTTTTTCATATACCTGTTGGCCATCTGTGTGTCTTCTTTGGAGAAATGTATGCCCATTTTTTTGATTGTGTTATTTTCTTTTGTTGAATTGTATGAGTTCTTTATAGATCTTGGCTATTTGCCTCTTGTCAGTGTATGATGTGTAAATATTCTCACCTATTCAGCAGGTTGGCTTTTTGTTTTATTTGTTTTAATGACAGTTTCTTTTGCTATGCAGAAGGTTTTTTTTTTGTTTGTTTGTTTGTTTTTTAAAGATTTATTTATTTAAACAAGCATTGGGTACAGTCAGAAGCACGGGAAGGTGAGAGAATTCACCAGAGCCAGAGTGGGGAGCAGAGCAGGCAGAAGGACCAAAGTACACTGCTGAGGGGAGCAGTGGGCATGGCAGGAGAGGTCTGTCGTACCATGTGGGGCCCTCCTCTGGTGGCCGGGGAGCAGCCAGGGATCAAACCGGCATTGCAGAGGCCGCGGGCAGCTTCGCAACCCAGCGCTCAACCACTGCACCACCGGGGAGGCCTGCTATGCAGAAGTTTTAAAAACAGTTATATCAGACTTTTCTGAGGAAATTCTATGGGCAAGGAGAAACTGGAACCACTTAGTCAAAATATCTCAAAAAAAAAAAATACCAGTCAAGAATACTATATTCCTCAAGACTTTTCTTCA